GTAGAGGGGAAAGAGAGAAGGGTAGAGGGGTGGAGGTGAGGGTAGAGGGGAAAGAGAGAAGGGCAGAGGGGGTAGTTAGGAGGATGTGAGAGAGGGGAAGGCATAGAGAGGGTGGAGAGGGAGGGATGAGGTGGGGGTAGAAGGGTAGGGACAGGATCGACATGGAGGGTAGGCTAGAGGTGGGTAGAGAGAAAGATGGGGAGGTGGGTAGAGAGAAAGAGGGAGAGGTGGGTAGAGAGAAAGAGGGAGAGGTGGGTAGAGAGAAAGAGGGAGAGGTGGGTAGAGAGAAAGAGGGAGAGGTGGGTAGGGAGAAAGAGGGTGGTGGGTAGAGAGAAAGAGTGATAGGTGGGTAGAGAGAAAGAGGGAGAGGTGGGGTAAATGGGAGGATGGAGATAGATGGAGATAGGTAGAGATAGTGTGAGGGATCCTGTTACTGACATTGTCCAGGATTCACAAAAAAGGAAACTTTTTTTCCCAGAAAAAACAACAATTGGTCAGTTGTGTAAATAAGTGGTTATGCATTTTCTAAGTTCGTTGTGCCGTTGTTAGATTTGTCATTGTATTTATACAGAGTTCCGAACATCCAGTGTCCATCGCACAGCATGTTACTCAGCGCGTATGTGCGTGCGTTGAAGCCGTGTTGTTATGGGTTTGACTGTAGCGTAAATAAACGATGATGCGTATATATAATCAACAGTTCTCTCAGTTTATCCAGTAGTTATCTGGCGCGTCAGCCAGCGAGCCAGCCAGCGCAGCAAGCCTGCGAGCGTGTACATGTGAGCGAGCAGCAGCAACGAGCGGCTGCTATGAGCGAGCGTGCGTGTACATGTCAGTACGCTGGCGTATATTGTGGGTTATTCCTGTGTTCGTGAGTCATATGGCGTATGTCGCTGGCGGAGGTATGCACTCTCCGTGAGTGCACTCTGTCTAGTTTTATTTCTGCTAGAACTTGTTCATCTGTACAGAATTTGCTGATGCTTTGACACTTATTGCGATTTGCACACAGCCCATATATATATATATATACAGGTTGGATTGCTTTTTTCCCACATAATACATTTATTAAAACACGTAATACATTAAGAACATTTAAGAGAGGCGTGTTGGTTCCACAATAAGGCTTTACTGCCTTTTTTTTATACTTTTATATTAATAGTATAATATTTTACAGCGCTAATTTTCAATTTCACGACAGCACGGATGTATTACACAACAGAAACATAGTGAAACCACAAAATAATTCAGTATTAATTCTCAACAAAACAAAAATAATAATCGTAATTGATCGATCGGTCACATAGTCGGATCACGATGGTCATAGTCGATAGTCGGTCGTCATCGTTACAGACATTGTCGATGGTCAGAGTATGCGGGAGAACTTTCCCATCACAAGGCAGCGATTCACAGAGTGCGATGGTGAACAAAAATCTCATAATTACAGCTTCATGTCGCAGCAATCGCGCCGACACCCCGTCAGCCTAACGTTATAGTGCACTCACTGCAGTTCAATGAGGCAAAAATAAAACTTCACCACAAGTGCTCTGTCTTCCCCCTCTCTCTTTCTCTCCCTCTCTCTGTCTCTCGCGCGCTTTCTCTCTCTCTCTCTCTCTCTCTCTCTCTCTCTCTCGCTCTTGCTCTCTCGCTCTCTCTCTCTCTCGCTCTCTCTCTCTCCCTCTCTCTCTCTCTCTCTCTCGCTCTGTAATCTCTCTCTCTCTCTCTCTCTCGCTCTGTAATCTCTCTC